ATCACGTTGAGTTATGAAGCCAACCTCTGCACAAAATTGCATACTGTGTAATTCAAAATTTGAAAATTCTAGAAAACACCAACTAATCTATAATTGTAGAAAGCAGATGAGAATTTTTATATCACTGGGTGAGGGGGTGGGAGAAGAGCAGATGAAGATGTGAAGGGACAGCCTGAGGAGGCTTTCAGAGGACGGGACATACATAGTCATTATCCTCATTGTAACAACTTCCCTGCTGCGTGCGTCTGGCAAAACTTAATAAATTGTATACTTTCAATATGTTGTTTATTACATGTCAACAATAACAATAAATACAGGGAGTGGCAGAAGTAAGCCCTGCTTGAGTGTGATTAGTAGGATAATAACATGAGTGAAATAATGTATAGCTGTCACCTAAAATGTCATATGCTGTGCTTGAGTGTGATATTGTTATGTCACAGATTACATGTTTATGATTTTTTAATAAAAGATTTTGTAATTAAAAAGGGGCATTATTTGTGCCAGACCCCATATTTTATTTTTTTTAAGTATAATGTGATTTTATTTTCATTTATTATTGTTGACACTATTACAGATATCCCCCCATTTTCTCCCCTTTACCAAACTCCACCCAGCCCCTCCCTGCCACTGTCTTTTTTTTTAATTTTAATTTATTTTTTCAAATACATTTGTCTCTGCCCCCCCCCCCACCACTTTCCCTTGCCCCCTCCCACCTTCCCTCCCTCAGCTCTTCCCCTTTGGTTTTGCCCATGAGTCCTTGCTATATGTTCCTTGACTTTCCCCTTCCCTTCCTTTTCCCCATATTTTAAAAGTTAGCTCTGGCTGGTGTGGCTCAGTGGACCAAGGGCCACCCTGCGAACCAAAGGGTCACTGGTTTGATTCCCAGTCAGGGCATGTGCTTGGGTTGTGGGCCAGGTCCTCAGTGGGGAGTGTGTAAGAGACAACTGCACATTGATGTTTCTTTCCCTCTCTTTCTCCCTCCTTTCCCCTCTCTAAAAATAAATAAAATCTTTTTTAAAATGTATATATACACATGAGATATTGCTTAAAATATAAGTTTTCTATAAAATAGAAAACTCACGCTGGCTCGTGTGGCTCAATTGGTTGGAGCATCATCTTGTAAACCAAAAGGTCGAGGGTTTGATTCCCAGTCAGGGCACATGCCCAGGTTGCACATTCTGTCTCCAGGGGAGGTGCGTACAAGAGGCAAGCCAATCGATGTTTCCCTTTCACATTGATGTTTCTTTCTCTCTTTCTCCCTCCTTTCCCCTATCTCTAAAATCCACAAGCATGTTCTTGAGTGAGAATTAAAAAAAGAATATAGAAAACCCCCCATCCCCAAAATACCTAGCTGTTAACATAACTTTTTCCTGCACATTTTTCGACTTGTCCACCAGGGGGCAGAAGAGCAACTCTGCAACTGGAAGCCTCAGGCGGGATGGCGGACCCGACCTTAGCGGCATCCACAGCTCAACAGGGTCCGATCTCGCCATCATCAGTCAGTCACAGTCCTCCTCGCTCTCTAAGGTGCGCACACTGGACTCTGTCAGCTCCTCCATCCAGCCAGGTGCCTGCCCAACTGAAGGTGGGCCCTGTGCAGGCAGCTCTTCCTCACCACCCTCCGTTCTTCAGGGCAAAATGGCCTCTAACTCTTCAGGCCTCAGCCAAGAGGCCACTTTCTCCGAAATCCTCTCTGATCCCCAGACTAACGGAGACTCAAATACATGCTCCGGATGCAGGAGAAGCTTTCCTTCATGGCCCTTCTTTGGATTACAACTAACTCCTTGGAGCCAAGATTTACCTGAGACACTACTTTTGTTACAAGGTAAATGCCATGAGAGTAGGACTCACGTATTTCTTGTCTTTTGTGGAGTTTCCAGGACCTGACACATCACAGGTGCTCAGTAAACACTCAGTAAATGGATGAGGGAAATCACACAATGAGATGCTGTAATCCTGTTGGATACTTACCATCAGAAAATGGCTTTTTTTAAAAATAAACATGAAGGCATTGGTTTCAGCATGGGAAGAAAACCAGGGTCAGGCCTTCACCTTTCATGCAGTCAAGAGGGAGGACGTCAACCTGCTAACAGCGAGGGATCGGACGCCCTTCGTTTCCCGGGTCACAGCCCTCCCCCGCCCCACCTTGTGTGAGTGACGTCTCAGCTCCCCAGGCTCTGGGCAGCAGCCTGTGTCCTCCCTCTTCTTACACAGACTTGAAAGGGCAGAGACTCTGGATCCCCAACCACGGATAGAGTTTCTACCAGAGGGAAAAGGAGCCCACACAGGTCTCAAATAAATCAGGGAATGACTCCCCACCCCCTAGGTCCCTGGACTGTTAAAACACATGCCTTTGGTCCCTGAAAACATTTCACCAGCTCATGATGCCCTGAAGTAAAACTTCCTGTGAAGGATGGGACAGGAGGACCCAGGATCTGTGGTTACTTCTATCTCAGAGGGGCTGAGGGTCTCACAGGAAGCTCCCCTCCACTCTACTAACAGGAAAACCAACAGGATCCCTGCCCGAGTCTCCCCATGGAGCTGCTCCAGATCCTGGGCTCTATGGGGAGGTCTAGAGCAGGTGACAGGCAGGGACACAACACCCCAATGCTGTGATGAGAAACAGAGAACATTTGGGATCAACCCTTCCACCCAGCACCCTCTCCCAAAAGCCTCAAGAAAGGTTTCACTAGGCCCTTCCTTTGATACTTGGAGACAGAGAGCTTCCCCCCAAATAGCCCATATCCCCAGAGGAAAGCTCTCCAGACACTGGACTCACAATACTCTGGACAATGCCTGTCCTCTCACTGGGCTCACACTGCCCTGGGATGGAGTTGGGAAACCTGGGACCCACGGTGACAGGGCCCCAGCTGACGAGTCTCTCAGACTAAAGGTCAGAGCCACCTCTGCCCAGGGCGCAGGGTCAGCTCCCATTCTCTGGAGCCTGGTCAGCATGCCTGGCGCAGCCCTCACACTGGCTGCGTGTCCCCTCCTGCCCTCCAAAGGGTGGCGTGGAGACACACAGACGACACACGGGAAACTAACCCATGAACCTGGCTTTGGCGAGGGACGTGGGGAAGGAGCCTGACTTCCATCCCCCGCTCGGGCAGGCTCCCTGGGCCCCTCAGCTAGGCCAGCTCCATCCCTTCGGCTTCTTTCAAGGACTGTGAATAGATCTGACAAGCTCAGAGACCAAAAGCAACCCCACTGGGTGGCCTGGTCACTAGTTCCTCACTGAACAGGTGATACAGCAGGTGGCCATGCCCCAGGCCTGCAGCTCCCTTAGAAGAAGTCAGTCTTTACCCTAAGTGAGCCCTGATGCCTGTTCTTATGAGTCCTAAATAATAAACCTTTAACACAGCAGAGTGACTTTCTCTGCAGACCATTCAAAGGCACAGACTCTAGAACCAGGCTACAAAACCACAGAGCCCCTCATGTCCCCTGGTTCCCTGCAGACCCTCTCTATGTGCTGTTAATGTCAATTGTCCCATCCATGTGAAAAAAAAAAGTTTTCCCTTTTGCCTTTTATCCATTTCTAGAGATTTCCCTGCTATGCTTTTTCTCACCTCCTGATGGAGTTCACACAACTTTTTATCTTCTCCTTTGATTATAATGTACAAAATAAGCTAAAAAAACTGCTGTTCTTTGCAAGATTTCAGGTCCTGCTCCCAGGCATGTCATCAATTTGGCTCAAATAAACTCAAAAATTCTCCACAGGTTTGGACGTTTCTCACTTTGACGGCCTGGGAGCCCCACTCTCAGGCATCCCTGTGCCGCTGCCCCCTTATGTGTGGCGCCACCTAAGGGCAAGGTGAGGTGACCACAGGAAGGTCTCCCAAGCAGAGGTGAGTTGCTGCTCCAGTGATGAGGAAGCACAGGGGCAGGCTCCCCCAAGAGAAATGGAGAAGAAATGCCTCCCTGAAACTGTCCCCCGAAAACAAAGGAGGCCACAGCCCTCTCTCCCCAAGACATGCTGGAAACCTTCCCCTTCACACCCAAACGGCAGGGTCTCCCGAGCCATCTGGGCTTTGGTCTGTTCCTAGAAGTAAAGGTCAGGCTGGTGGCACCTGAGACAGAAGGAGGGTCTTCCCTGCGATCATCAGCCACTTGACCTTTTCTCACCCCCAGAGTCATCTGCACGACTTTCTTGCCAGCAGACAATGTAATCTTCTCAGAGCATTTGAGAACAAGGGGTGCCCAGCTGTGCTTCTGTGTTAAGCTTTGGGGGCCCCTGGGGCTCTCTGTGTGAGGCCGACAGACCCAGGACCGTGACATGGCAGAGGCTAATGCTAGGGTGAGCAGGTCATCCGCTCAGGACGCGTGTCTCCATCAACCTTGCTGTTGCGAGTGGGCTCCGCACGCCCGTAAGATCAACCTTCCCTGAGAAATTGTCAGATGCAGGGTCTCTGGTCCCCCCGACACCCGCCAGGTCAGCAGCTGCATTTCTAACAGGATCCAGAGACCTCCCCTGGGCACAGCAGAGCAGGAGGGGCTGTTCTACATCCGCATCACAAGGTCTCATTCTGCCTGAGCATCCGTGTTGGCTGGGCAGCTTCAGAAGCAGCAGTTCTAAATTTGGGCATTGTAATTTTTAAAGATTTTCACAAGCGATCTGATGCACAGCAAGGATGACATCCCTGTGACAAGTTTTCCTGAGGTAGCGTCAGAGCTACTGCTCTGAAGGAAAAAGTCAAATACAAAAGAGAGCAGCTGTGGGAGAGGCTACTGGGCACCTGACAGGAAGCTGTGGGAGATACCTGGGACCTGGACACCCCAGCCTCATGCTTCTCCAAACTGGGAGCCTCGTGCAGAGGCTCTCAGCAGTTCCCAGGGAACTGAAATAAAAAGAAACAGTAAACTAGAAGAAGGAGACAAAAGTGGCAAAACTGAGGGGAGGGAGAGGGAGGGTCCTGGGCACAGGCTCTGCCTCCTACCCACGTGACCAGAGGGGTGATCTTTCCATAAGAGGAGGCTCAGTGCACGGGAGGAGGGACAGCAGATTCACAGAAGAGCCTGTGAGCCTTACTGCACCTCAAGCTCTTCTCGTAGAGGAAGGGACGGAGCAGGCAGCTGACACCATGGTGTTCCCCTCAGCACACACCCGCAGAAAGCGCGTCCCCTGGCAGGGGCTCCTGCTGACTGGTAAGGAGGGGACAGTCCCTGGGCATAGAGGGAAGGATGGGAGACAAAGACCCACTGGAATCTACTGGAAAACACAGCGCTCTGAGAGGGGGCAGAGGGCTTCTGTTTGGACCGGAGGGGAGAGGGCGGGGGAGACACTTAGGATGGGGAAGGGGCTCGGCAGCAGGGAAATCTCATGATCTGGAAGTGGTGAGGGGCAGGAGAACATCAATTGCTGTTCATTTCTAAAGTTCATCACTGAGTATTGAATTTTGAAAACTGATGATAATAATAACAATTTATGTCAGGGGACAACAGAAAAAATTTAACCAGGGGCCCTAAACATTGTCCATATTACCAACCTCAGAAATGGGTGAATACACCCCAGGGGGTGCAGGACCCTGGGATCACTCACTCGTTCACCTAGAGGTGCTCGCAGCCTGTTGCAGGCACTGGGGGTGCAGCAAGGCCAGACAAACCCCAGCCTGCACGCACCTCACTTTTTATGTGGAGGAGACAGACAAGGAAAGATCTAGATGTGATGTCAGGTGCCCACAAGTCTCATGAAAGGAACAGAGTAGGGACAGGTCACAAAGTGGAGGCCCAGAATCTTTAGAGAAGGTGGTCAGTGAAGGTGTCTCTCAAAGATACCCCTGCATGTCCGCAAGAATCTGAGGGCCATGGGGAGGTGATCCAGGAAGGCACCTGGGGAAAAGTATTTGAAACAGAAAAAATACCAGGTTCAGAGGGGCTGAAGTAAGGGTGGCCATCCTGCTGACCTCGACCATGGAAACACACACCCACACGCCCCCCCCCACACACACACTTACATGGCTGAGAAGGAAAAATACCTGCTCAGAACCCAGGGCCTCATCTTTCCATCCCAGTACATTGATCCAAATATTGATCAAATTCTCTCTTTCTTTCTAGCTTCACTGTTAACTTTCTGGAGCCCACCGACCACGGCCCAACTCGCTATTGTGTCGACCAACGCTGCCGAAGGGAAGGATGTGCTTCTGCGCATCCGCAATAAGCCCCACGATGTCGTAGGCTATATGTGGTACAGGGGCGAAGGGGCAAGCGCCAATCGTAATATTGCGTCTATTGCAGTAGGCCCAGGACTATATGCCACAGGGCCTGCACACAGTGGTCGTGAGAAAATTAATAACGATGGATCCTTGCTGTTAAGGAAGGTCACCCGGAAGGACACAGGATACTACACCATAGTAGCCTACCTTCATGATTCAAAAAAAGAAATAGGATTTGGACGGCTTAATGTGTACCGTGAGTGACTGCCCTTTGACCTCTGGGTGTCGGGTGGGTGAATGCTGCCTCACACACAGGGCTGACAGCCCTGGACTCTGCCCCCACCCCCCTCTGCATCACATCCCAGGCTGGGGCTCGGCATTTAGTGCAAGGCACACACAGTGGAGACAAATTTTCTAAGATCAGAGCTCCCTTCCTGGATTCCAGCCCTGCAGACATTCACTGCAGAGAGAAGGACCAGTCTGATGGGAGTAACTCAGTGGACAGAGACCAGTCTCAGTCCAGCTCCCTGGGTACCTCTCCAAGACCATGACCCTGAGACAGACCCTGCAGGGCTGGGTCAGTGCCTGACCTGAGGAGCCTCCTGGAATTTTCACAGAGAAGCTCAGCTCAGGCAGCTCCTTCCCACACACCTATGCTAGGGCTTTTGACTCCAGGAACCTTGAGGAGCCTGTGTCAGCTGGGTTTGACCTCCTGGGAAGGGATGACTGGGAGCAATGGTTTCCTGGGTGCCTGAGTCACAAAGCTCCTGAGCTGGTCATCAACCAGGGATTATCCCCAAAGGTCACATCTGGGCAGGGATGGAGTTGTGTTTTTCACCTGACACTGTGGGGGGATAGCATAGCAAGACAAGGCCCCCGAATCATTTGCCAACTCTCCTGAGGGACTTAGGAAAGTCCAGAGAAAGGTCAGCATCCCCAGAGAGAAACAGGAGAAAAGGTGCTCCCGGCAGCTCCTCATTCCCCAGGGATCAGCCCGGGGGGTTCTCTCTGGGAGTCGGTCAAGAACAGGTGCCTCTTATTTGAGCCATTCTTCTGTCCCAAGATTTAGGTCAGAGACTATGAGTATTTTACAGTTAATACACTGACAACCTGGCAGCCAAGTATTCATTTTCCTCCATTGAGGAGAAACTGAGGCACAGGGAGACACAGTCACTAAAACAGAACCACACAGACGATGAGCAGCTGATCAGAGTCACTTGAGGTCCATCTCAGCCACAGCCCTGTCCTCTCCTCCATCCCGGGGGCCTTAACAGGTGTCTGTGGACCCCTCAACTGACCCTTGGTTCAGACCCTTTCCTCTTAGGCCTCCTTAGCTCAGAGGCAAAGATTCTGGTCTGGGGAGTAAAGGGAAATGGAGAATTAATCTGTTTTTACTCCAGAATGAAATTACCTGCAGTGACAATCAGAGTCGGTGCTGGGACTGCCCAGGCCAGCCCTTCAGGTCCACACCTCCCCGCCCGCCCGGGGTTAGGATTAGGGGCGTGAAGTCACTTCTTTGATTCCTGATGAGTTGGTGTCCCTCCCACCAGATGTGAAGGAAAGGACTTTGCCTCCTCACTCCCCACTCTCCACCTGCAGCCAGCTCAGGGACCAGCATGTAACAAACGCCCAATTGCTTTTTTTTAAAAAAGATTTTATTTATTTGTTTTTAGAGAGAGAGGAAAGGAAAGAGAAAGAGAGGGAGAAAAACATCAATGTGTGGCTGCCTTTCATGCACCCCCTACTGGGGACCCGGCCCACAACCCAGGCATGTGCCCTGACTGGGAATCGGACCAGCGGCCCTTTGGTTTAAAGGCTGGCGCTCAGTCCTCTGAGCCACACAAGCCAGGGTGCTTTTGATAAATTAGAAAGAAATAAATGGTGATTGAATGAATGATGTAAAATCTCGTCAGTGACTAAAACCTGAATGCAGAGTGTTTGGAATTCTGGAAAACAAGACATGTTTTCTGTCCTGCCAGGGGCTGAGCCCCATGTTTCAGGCTTTTTGCGGCTCTCTAGAGCAATACTGCTTCCTGAAATTGGTCATTCGCCCTGAAATATTTATAATTTTCACATACAGAAGGTTTCTAATTCTTTTCAAATTTCTGTCTCATAACCACCAAACACAAATGGTCCACAAGAGCCATAATTTTAGCCGGCCCATGCTCCCCACTTGCCATCCGCCACGCGCCGTGCAGCCCCGGGTCCCAGGCCCCCTCTCCGTCAGCCCCACCCTCTGTTCCTCCACAGGGCCTGTGAGAGTGCCCACCCTCCGAGCCAGCAATACCACAGTCACCGAGAACAAGGACACCGTGGTCCTGACCTGCGACACAGATGCAGTCTCCACCCAGTGGCTGTTCAACGGCATGAATCTGCGGCTCACGGAGAGGATGAAGCTGTCCCGCAACAACAGCACCCTCACCATAGAGCCCGTCAGGAGGGAGGACTCGGGGAACTACCAGTGTGAGGTCTCCAACCCCATCAGTTCTATCGAAAGTAAGCCTCTAGGGCTGGATGTGAAATATGAGTGACACTTGTCCCCTCCTCCATGTTATAATACTTTGAATAAATTTGTTTGCACTCATTAAACAGATTTGTTTTGAGGGTGGAAAGTACTTAGAAGACTAGGAATTTGCCAATAAATGATCAAAAATGTGATCTGACATTGTCATTATCGTTGATTTAAGGTCATATACCACACCAGACCCCCCCTTCTGTGAGGACTTACTTGCACAGTCCCCACAGTGGAGTTGACGACGATTCGCTCCCAGGACGGGCAGTGGTCGTGAGATGACGGGGGGGGGGGGGGGGGGGGGGGGACGGGAGTCGGGGGCGGGGGGGCGGGCGGGGGTGCATGCACCTCATAAGCTCACAGGAATCCAAGCTCTTCCCTCCTGCAGGGGGATCGGTGGAGGGCGTCTCGACGCTGTTGTGGACAACAGAACTGGACAGAGGGGTACCCATGAAAGTAGAAAATCACCAATCTCTTTCTTCCTTTCTTCAGAAAATTTCTAAAGCCTCTTGAGTATCCTTATTTTCATGGTAATACACTTATTTGCATAAGCTCAGTAAGACACTGTCCTCCTTGTTAACAGAATATAATTGGAAACATTGGTAATACAATCAAGGCTTTGGCTCAAATGTCCTAGTTCAGCCTGATGCCCACAGAATTAGAAATGACCTCACACTTCGTGGAGCTAAGTCGGACCTGATGGGCCTTTTGGTCTCTCGTGGAGAAAAGAGCGTCACCCAAAGCTAGAGGGACTGCAGGTGAAGGGGGAGGGGGAGGCTTCCTAACCCAAGGGACTGTTAGAACTCTCACCTTAGGTCTCATAGAAAAGCCTGCCTCAGAGCAAACTCTGTGGTGAATGTCGGCTCCTCTGCACTTAGGTAACTAATCAGGTCAAACTGAGTGATACCAGCCATGTAGGATTAAGAATACCGTTATTCCTTGAAGATGGTATTGGACGAAAGGGAAGGTGACTGTAGAGAGAAATATAATGTCCTAAAGGAGAACTCCAGAAGCACAGCCTTCTGGGAGATCAAATCCTGGCTCTGTTCAGGGACTCTCAGCTGTTTCCACCCGTTTATTAATGGCTAGAAACTTGCACCTCTTTATAAATTGCAGGAGCTGATGGAGATACATACTGGGTGTTGGCTGAAAGATTTAGTTGTGAGTCCCTCCACTGTGCAGAAAACAGTTTCGTTATGACCTGGAGGCCTTAATGTTCCCTCAGAATCAGCAGCATTTAGACAGGTTCTTCCTGACTACATGACTCTGTTTTCCACTTTTTAAAGAACATTTCTTTTAGAAAGGTGATTGCAATTAGTAATTTTTTTCTCTTCCCAGTTGACATATACTTGTCTTCTTATCTGTCTCAAAAGCCTGGGCCCATCCCTTGAAAGTTATTTCTCGTGGTGCCTCTGTGTCCCTGCCTCTGAGGGAGGGTAGGTCCCTAACTTGGGTGGGAATCTGTACAACCGAGATGTAAAACGATCTCTTGTCAGAATTTCATAAGAAGCTTTACCCTTCTTTTGTGGAAAGCCAGTTAGGAAACACAGATACCTGTGGTTCCTTCTGCTGTTCTTCAACACTCCCCAGCCTTTTCTTTTTCATGAGTGTTGAGTGCAGCCTCAGTGTGCTATTGCATGGTCTTTAACAGTCTTTCCTGTCTCTTTAAATTTGTTTGATGCATATTGTACTTTGACATCACCTACCTGTAATTAACTGATCCTGTCATCTTCTCACATTGTCAATTCCTACCATATTTCCAAATCTTCCAATTTCTTTTATTATCTGGCAAAAATCCTCCAAGTATAAGTTTTCAATTTTTCTGCCTCTCGTCTGACTTGGCTTCCAATGCAAGACATGACGTGACGCCCAGATATCCTGGGGCTACAGGTGCCTCAGACTGGCCTTCACTCGAACACAGCGAAAGACGCGCAGGCCCGAAACCTTGCCCCTCTGCCGCGGCCTAACCATCAACAGTGTTTTCCTGACACATCCATTTTCCGCTCACCTTCAAGGAAGGAGATCATGAAGTTTTAAAAGGTATTCTGTCATGAAACTCACCTTCCGTAGTAAACATGTGGGTCCCTGTCACGTCAGCCGCCTGTAGGTCTGCACTGGACAACCCTGTTTGGGGCCCTCTGTGACCTGGAACTACGCCTAGACATTCTTGTCCTGATTCTTTGTTTTCTGTTTTGTTTTGTTTTGTTTCGGGGGAGAGGTATTTGTTTTTATTTTTTTAATTTTTATATTTTTACCAATTCCACAGGCTTGTCCCTAAAGAGTCCATGACTGGAGCCTGGGAAATGGAAAGTAAATCTCTCCTCTGGTTCTGTTTCCTTTCCTGCTCCTTATCGCCTCTGGGGTATTTGGCTGAAATCCTTAGAGACCTGGCCAGATGGGAATCTTGGGTAAGCAGAGGTTGGCATAGAGAGGAGTCATGGAGGGACGGGGTCTGCTCAGAGTCAGGATAACGAATTGTAAATCCTGGGGCATGTGGGTTCTATGCATTATATAGGTTCAAACGAATTTAGGGATGTCATGTAGGAGAGTTTTCTGGGGGGGCTCAGAATGAGACTGCGGAATATGAGTGAGGGGCTGACCTACTTGTTGAGGGAGGAGCCACTAAAGCTGGCACGGTGAAGCAGGGGGCACCTTCCTCCAGACTTAAAGGGTGTGAGGGGTGAGGCACAGGGTTGGTGAAAGAATAATGCTCTTGAAGACTCAGATTAGTGCCCTGACCTTGGGACAAGAAGGAGCAGTGGGTGTCTCACCCAAAGCTGTTATGGGGCAGGGGACAAGAAATAGGAAACACGGGGGAGAAAAAGATGACCCTCTCATGGGGGACAAAGAGTCTGAAGAGCAATGAGAGATTGTAAAACTGGGGACACCATGAACCTCAGAGATGAGCCAAGAAAGTTTAAAAATTTGAGTCAGGAAGGGAGTTGGGGCGTAGGGGGGGTCAGACCAAAAAAAAAAAAAAAAGCCTGGGGAAGCCTGGGATAAAACCTGGGAAAGGTGAGGAATGCATGCAAGGCCAGCTTGGCTGTGAGACCAAACGGATGGCCAGAGGGTCTAGTCTCTAGTTCCGACCTAGTGGAGACGCGTGCAGCAGACTCTCAAAGTGCTGTTCAGGGGCAGCAGTTTCCACGTGGCCCGGGAGGGCCGTGAAAAGCCAGGCCTTACTTTCATACCACAAGACGTGCCTCAGCTGAGTCAACAGTTAGCCACACCCCAGGGGATTTGGGTGCCAGTGAGCAAGGCTGACTAGGAGCCTGGGGATAAGCAAGAAAGTGGCTGATTGTGTGTGTCAGTGTCGGGGGAGTATTGAGGGCTGGGATGAACTTGGAATGAGAGGAGGCTTTTCCTTTTTTGTGGACTAGTCAGAGTGAACGGCCTGTCTCCACAGGTGAGAGCTATGTGGCGATGATCTGGCCACCTCTCCTTGTCTGATTCAGATGTATGACCTCCATCTGTGATGGATGCTGCTCTCCCCAGCTGACCTGAGGCTGGTGGGTGCGATGGAACCCAGGCCACGATGAGGAGGTCAGGCCACCTGGTCACAGTTCAGACGCTCTGTCTCTCCCGAGGCCTGGAAGCTGTCAAAAGCTGCCACTTTATTGCTGCAGAAAGCATGGCACGCTGCAAACCCCAGGAGTCTGCACGTGATTCTCGTATTAGGTCTCACCAGAGGCTTCACCAAGCACCTTTTATTCTAACATCAGTTATTATATGTAAGTAAAGTACAGCCACTTGGTCTTTACTACGGAGGATACGTCCGGCATGGCCCAGACAATTGGAGCCATAAAAGCTTCATAGATGTGGCAGATCCCTGAATGGTCACAGATGTGGGTATCCCTACGGCTCACGCTTTACTTAACCTGCTGATCACTGGAGCTGATCCCGTCACTGGTGTCTCCACAATCACTGATGTCACCATCTTAGAGCATCCACATTAGCAGGCACCCACTTCTACCCTTTGGAGCCCAGGTGTCTTACTAAGGCATTTAGAAGACTTACCATTTTGATCACCTTTAGCAAACAAGCCTCTAGTTCTCACGATTAAAAATGACATTAACTGTAGGTCTGATGTTTTCAATGACTGGAGTTTACCGTAAAATTGACTTGGAAGATAAACACACCCATTCGCCCTGCTGGGGAGGGCCGGCTTCATGGGTTCACAATCTATGCAGTCATTTAGAAGGGCCTGCGGTAGGTTTAATACTCTGCTTTTGTCATTTTGAAATTCTTAATAGCTTTTGAACAAAGAGCCCAGCTTTATCACCTGACACTGACTTGTCCTGGTTCTGCCCCTAGGAATGACCCTCCATTGGAAAACATCGTTTAACCCTATTGGGAGGTGTAAATTGTAATATAACCACCAGAGGGCGGTATCACCACAACTAACCTGGAGGGACTCTGAAGGCACGTGGAGAAATCTCTTACTTCTTTTACTTTTTTTTTTTTTTTTTGCACTGCAAGCGTCTAATGAGCAGGACCATTCCACCCCTACTTTTGTAACTCATAGAAGGATGGGTCCCTATCTCTGATGTACTGCAGAGATTGAAATTTAAAGAAATCACAGTCAATTGGCTCAAATGTAAATAACATTAAATAGACACAATAAAGTCTACACTAAATATTGGTCTTTAAAAAAATGTTGAAGAGAAAAGATGGAGAGAGAGTTGGTGATGAGAAAGAAAGCGGCTGAATTATCTTATTCCAAAAGGAAAAACTTTGCATTAGACAATGCCTTAAAATGAAAAACCAGTACATAGCCTCAGAGCGTGTTATTTAGAGATGACTTTGGTTACATTGCAGGAAACTGTTGATTTGAAGATGATGTCCTCAGCGTGGCTCAAATAGAAGAGCCAAAACCTTCCTGCAATCACTCTGAACCAGCACACACAGAGACACAGGGCTTATCACAGCAACATCCAGTGTCGTCACAAAGACAAAGAAAAACGTCCAACAGGAGGGGGCCATTAACTGGCTCTACTCACAGTGTGGGGCAACAATTTTTATTCCAGTCACAGTGGGAGTTAAAATCTCCTTGAGGTTGTAGGTGATCACATCAAAACAATATGCCCCCTCTGACTAAACATGCCAGCCTTACACAATGACTAAAATTTG